ATTTTTCACCACATTATACTCCCTAGTACCTCCTCGGATTGTGATGCAAATACCTTACTAGCTCTACCTACCAACTTTGTTTGGATCAACAATACCCACATGGCCACCGGGCATTTCATTTGAGGAAGTGGCTAAGCAAATGAAAAAGGATTCTGCATCCTTTTTGTCAAACATAGGCAATACTCAGATGTATTTAAACAGATCCCCACCAGGCCTTTGGCTACAATGGGATTGCTCTCCATCACTGTCCTAATCACAAAATCCCACTTATCATCTCTACCACCGTGATTTTAAGTCGACAGAGTTCTCAGTTCCAAGCGCTTTTGCCTGCTCTTCTCTCGCTCTCTCTCTCTATGGCTGTCCTCTCTTTCTTTGTCCTCTGCTTTTAATCGTAATTCAAACTGTTTCATTTCCTTTTCATGATCAAGCTGCTTCATTTTCAGTTGAATTTTAGCCATTTCCAAAGATCCTGATGGCATTCTGGTAACCGTAAATGCTACACAATTGTGACAATATTTTCCCTTTTCTTGCAGGCACAGGTAACTCCAACTCCAGCTTGTTTGCCAATTCCAAAAGCTTTGCCTTGCTCACTGTCTGTAAAAGTCTTTAAGTGACTTCTTCTACCCCCAGGAAACTGTTAGTGACCGAGTTCAACCAACTGAATTCAACACCTGAAATTTAAAAACACTAACATGTACTACTCACTGCCTTGGAGTCCAATAATCCTAAACCCAAACTGGAATTAGAGATTTTGATCCTGACAAGAGCCCCCAATTTGTTATGGATTAGACCAAATCCCCCTCAAAATGTATTAAGGTAGACTACAGCCAATTTTTTTCTTATTTTAAGAGGTAAATGTAAGGTATTGCATTCCAGATGCAATTCGATTAGTCAAATGGGCAACACAGTGGCTCAGTGGTTAGTACTGCTGCATCACAATGCCAGGGACCCAAGTTCAATTCTAGCCTCGGGTGACCGTGTGTGGAGTTTGCATGTTCTCCTGGTCTGTGCATGGGTTTCTTCCAGGTGTTTCTGTTTCCTTCCACAGTCCAAAAATGTGCAGGTTAGGTAGAGTGGCTATGCTAGAGATTGTCCATAGTGTCCTGGTATGTGTAAACTTAGATGGGTTGGGTATGGAAAATACAGAACTACAGGGATAGGGTAGGGGGAGAGATCTGTGCGAGATGCTGTTTGAAGGCTCGCTGTGGACTTGATGGGCCGAATGGCCTGCTTCCACACTGTAGGGATGCTATAATCTATGAGCTACTCAACATTAAGCAATACACAATTTATTCATGCACTATAGTTAAAATACAAAAGAAAGAAAAAAAGAAAGAGAAAAGAATTGACTTAGCTGTAACTGTCAAAATGCTTAACAAAATAACAGATAATTAGTAATAGTTACTATAACTGTTCCAATATAGTAACATCCCATAAACGCACCTTTGGCAAAAACCAAATTCAGAAAAGAAATTCTCTCTCATGCAACTCCAGCAGCTCAGGAGGAAAGACATCAAGAAACTTCACAGAACGTAGCAAGGAGAGATGCACTGCAGCAACAAACCCAGCAACAACTGCTACTGATAAACTAAGAAACAAAATCCTGGTTCTGTGGGAGCTTGACCACACCAATTCAGGCTGCTTCTATTGTTCCAACTTCAAAATCCCGAAAACTTCAAAATCCTGAAGACTTCAAGCTGTTTACTTGTTCCAAACAGACATCTCATTACCGGTCTTAAAAATCTCAAAATAAAAAAAGGACAAAATAACCTCTTCAAGCCAAAGTATTGTCACAACCCTTTGTCATATTCTTTGAGGATGTGACAAATCACATTGATGAAGGTCAAGCGGTGGACTTTAGCAAGGCATTTGATAAGGTTTCTCACGGTAGGCTCATTTAGAAAGTAAGGAGGCATGGGATTCAGGGAAATTTGGCTGTCTGGATACAGAATTGGCTGTCCAATAGAAGACAGAGGGTGGTAGTAGATAGAAAGTATTCAGCCTGGAGCTCAGTGACCAGTGGTGTTTCACAGGGATCTGTTCTGTGACTTCTGCTCTTTGTGATCTTTATAAATGACTTGGATGAGGAAGTGGAGGGGCGGGTTAGTAAGTTTGCCGATGACACGAAGGTTGGTGGAGTTGTGGATAGTACGGAGGGCTGTTGTAGATTGCAACGGGACATTGACAGGATGCAGAACTGGGCAAAGAAGTGGCAGATGGAATTCAACCCAGAAAAGTATGAAGTGATTCATTTTGGAAGGTCAAATTTGAATGCAGAATACAGGGTTAATGGCAGGATTCTTGGCAGTGTGGAGGAACAGAGGGATCTTGGGGTCCATGTCTATAGATCCCTCAAAGTTGCTACCCAAGTTGATAGGTTTGTTAAGAAGGCATATGGTGTGTTGGCTTTCATTGAGGTTAAGAGCCATGAGGTTATGGTGCAGCTCTATAAAACTCTGGTTAGACCACACTTGGAATATTGTGTTCAGTTCTGGTCGCCTCATTATAAGAAGGATGTGGAAGCTTTAGAGGGGATGCAGAGGAGATTTATCAGGATGCTGCCTGGACTGAAGGGCAGTTCTACTGAGGAAAGGTAGAGGGAGCTAGGGATTTTTTTCATTGGAGCGAAGGAGGATGAGAGGTGACTTGAGAGAGGTATACAAGATGATGGCACAGAGAGTGGATAGCCAGAGACTTTTTCCCCAGGGCAGAAGTGACTATTGCAAGGGGTCATAATTTTAAGGTGATTGGAGGAAGGTAAAGGGATGTCAGAGGTAGGTTCTTCAAACAGAGTGGTGGGTGTGTGGAATGCGCTTCCAGCAGTGGTAGTAGAGTCAGATACATTAGGGACATTTAAGCAACTCTTGGATAGGCACATGGATGACAGTAAAATGTAGGATATGCAGGGTAGTTTGATCTTAGAGTAGGGTAATAGGTCGACACAACATTGTGAGCCAAACGGCTTGTACTGTTCTATGTTCTAACCCATAACCTGAACAAAAGCATTTTGGGTTTTGGTTTGGTAGGACTTGCACAAGTCTTAGACTGAAGCTGATGTGTAAAATAGTTGCTCCTGAGAAGAGGAGATAATTCAGAACAGGTGGGAAATAGATTACAGCGCAAGCAGATTAGTCTAGGTTCCAGACCAGAAATGTTTGATTAAGTCTCTGATGGGGTTATTTGAAGTTCAGAAAGTCTATGTTCAGTTGTATGAAGGCTCCAGGAAGAGCCTGTTAGATTCAAGGGTATTGATGCCCAAGTTAAATTAAGTCCCATGGATGTGAGAGAAGAAAATCATCCGATGTGATTACTATAAAAAAAAGGAGTGCTGCCAAGATAAATAAAATTTTATTTACAGTTTGCAATAAAAGATCTTTACATTTGTTACATGTAAATAGTTTGCACTGCTCTATTTTAACATCATTTCTGTCACATAATAAACCACTATGTTAAACCTGAATTTGTAATGCTGTGTTTGTGTTTCAGTGAAAGACCACATTGTTAAAATCAAAAATAAAAACATTATTTATCAAGCCAGATTTCATTTGGCATCTGACTTCAATAATAACATCAACTGAGTAAATAACAATTAAGAGATCCAATTCCAGTCAAGTTTCATTTTGATTCAAATAAAATGTTCACCAATAGAAAACAATATTTCCCTCCACAATAAATTTCCTGTTTTAGAATTACCTAAATACTAAAAATCTGATAGGAATATATAGTTACCCCTACTGGGACATGGATGACCAGGAATATTAAATACAGTCCTCAGTTATAATTTATACAATGGGCAGACAAACAAACAAACGCCACATTGACAAATTTAACCTTCAGTTCTTACTGGCTGGATTTTGCAACGGCAACAACAGCTAATCAGTCAGAGGCCTCCTCCAACAAATGACAGAAAATTCTGAACAATTAAAACATGAAAACTGAAGTTGTCATCAGTGATTCCAGAGGATACAGTTTTAAAGGTCTCCCAGAACGTAACCAACTGAATGATTAAAAACTTGAGGTCTCAAAAAAATATAGTTGGATTAAATGTAACCAAGTCTTAAAATGTGTCAGAGATAGTAGGAACTGCAGATGCTGGAGAATCCGCCAGAAAGTAAGCGAATGTTGAATTGCTCCACTTTTGGATTTAAACTTTTTGCATATCTTGAAATAAATTCAGATTAAAGAAGAAACAAAAATATCAGTTTATGTAATTAATTTGAAAAAAAGCAGATTTCTTATGGTGAAATCTGGCATTCATTGCTTATAAAATCAGTTTCTTGAGCTAGTGGAGCAATTTAGCAGTAATTATAAACTTAGTACACATTTTAGGAGACAACAAGGTGCAGGGCTGGATGAACACAGCAGGCCAAGCAGCATCATAGGAGCAGGAAGGCTGACGTTTCGGGCCTAGACCCTTCATCAGAAAAGGGGGAGGGGAAGGGGGTTCTGAAATAAATAGGGAGAGTGGGAGGCGGATAGAAGATGAATAGAGGAGAGGAAACAAACAGGTCGAAGAGGCGGGGATGGAGCCAGTAAAGGTGAGTGTAGGTGAGGAGGTAGGGAGGGGATAGGTCAGTCTAGGGAGGGCGGACAGGTCAAGGGGGCGGGATAAGGTTAGTCGGTAGGAGATGGGGGTGCGGCTTGAGGGGAGGGGAGGGGAGGGGGCGGAAGGGATAGGTGGGAGGAAGAACAGGTTAGGGAGGCGGGGACGAGCTGGACTGGTTTTGGGATGCGGTCGGGGGAGGGGAGATTTTGAAGCTTGTGAAATCTAGCAGGTCTGGGGCAGCCTCTGCGAAGAAACAGGCAGTTAATGTTTCGAGACTCTTCGTCAGAACTAGCAGAATCGATCAAGCATGATATTAAACACTTTCCCTTTCAGATAGCCATTGGGTGTTAACTCCAGTAATTTGACCACTACGCTAGGTCTCTGGGAGATCAGCCTTTTTGTTTGGCAATTAAAATGTTTTAAAGTACTTTTTTTGGCAATTACCTAGTAATACCTCGTGTCAAAGTCGTGACTCCGATTCGATATACCTTTAGGAAGTTCACACATGCTTCAAGCACAACCTCAGGAACAGGTGGCCCTCAGGAAAATCAACCCAGGCCAAATGCAGGCTGATCCAAACCCTAGGCAACCACGCCAGCGTTTTACATTACAGAAGATATGCTTCTCACGAGATTGCGTCATGTGAAATATTTTATAGACAACCTCATCTCTCTTTATTTCTGGAAAGAAAGCCGAGATCAGTTGACTTTAAACTCACTTTCCTCGCTTTTCCCCACTAGATCGATAAGAAATCGAACCTTCTCGTCGATCCTCGTTAGTCAACGGGGTAAAAAGAGCGCCAACCAGAAGTCGAAGTTTAGTCCCACCTTCCCATCCACGCCCACCAATCAGCATGTCAGTTTTGTTGATTGATGCATGTCACGTGCACCGCCGCACCTCGCGTCCCTCGTGCAGCTGGCAAATGGCCAGAGCGAACGGATTTTAAAGGTACACTGCACATAATAACTCCGTCGAGATTTGTTTGTGTGTGTGTGAAATACAAAGAGTCTTATTTGTTTTAGCACTGCTATGTGATATTATTTCCATTCCTTTTAATCTTTTGTAGGGGTGTGTTTGGTCTGTAGTTGGTGTGTCGCATTCGTTGCCCATTCCTAAACTGAATGGTTTGCTAGGGCAATTTCAGAGGACAGTTCAGAATCCTCTGAAGAGTCCTCGGTTAATTGTTCCGGGTTCTGGTGCCTTATGTAAAGGCCTAGAAACAACAGCAGAGTCTAGGGTAGAGCCTGAGTCCTGGGAGGTGAAGATCGGCAGTGGTTAGAGACTGAGTTTTGGCGGGCGAAGGAAATGAGGGCGGCTGAATGCTTTCACTACGGACATTCTGTTTTGTTGGGTGTGTAATGGGAATCACAGGAAAATCAAGTCTACCATCTTTCCCCATTTCTTAATGAATTAGTATATTCATATTCTTAATTGAACAAACACTTGTTGACGTTATCTCTATTCTGGCTAGTTAGAAACAGAGTGGTTTATCGCTGTAGTGATTGTAACAAGGTCGGCCAGGTAGTTCTCATAGAATATGAGTTCTCTGATTGGGGCTGTTAATCTAGTTTAATCAGGGAGTCCTGGCTGACAGATAAGACCAGGAGTGTTAGGCATTTGATGCCTTGTCATTCTGAGCTGGCTCTTGGAGAGCTGGATCAGTGTCAAGACCTTTCCACGTGTAAATAAAGGATGACTTGTTGACGGCCAACACAGTGGCTCAGTGGTTAGCACCACTGCTTCACAATGCCAGGTTCATATCTAGTCCTGGGTGTTTGTCAGTGTGGAGTTTGTACATTTTCCCCATGTTTGCATGGATTTCTTCCCAGTCCTTCTGTTTCCTCTTACAGCAGGGTAGATTGATTAACCATGGGAAGTGCACGGTTACAGGCCTAGAGTGGGTGTGGGGGTGGGTCTGGGATGCTGTTCAGAGGGTCATTGTGGACTCGATGGGTTGCATGGCCTGCGTTCACACTGCGAGGATTCTATGATTGTATACCAGCCTCCGTGGAGTTATTTCAGTCGTGATGAGACTAAGCACATTCCTGAAGAAATGCAATCGCAATAGTTGTCTTTGAGCTGGGAGTTAGCATTTCTAGCATCATGCCATTATTTGGGAAGATTGACTTAGTTGATCCTGCCAATGAAGCCTAGGCCCATTATGTGGAAAGAATGTGTTATTTTATCCAGGCAAATGACGTTGGGGCAGAGGAAAAACAACAAGTAATTCTCCTGACAGCTTGTAGACCCACAGTTTTGCTTTTGGTTATTAGCAGCCTAACTTTCCCTGAGGCACCAGATACTAAAACCTTTCAAGAGTTGATGGATTTAATTAAGGAATATTACGACCTCAAGTTTACTCTAATTCTGAAACTCTATCCGTTTTACTCGGCAATTCGAGAACTGGGGAATCTGTATCGGGACTTTTGACTAGGTTAAGATGATTGGCAGAGGCATGTGATTTTAGTTTAACCCTTAATGAGATGCTGAGAAACCGTTTGGTATGTGGGATTAATGAGGTAACCATGCAAAAACACCTTCAAGCTGATGTCCAACTGGACTTCAAACAGCCACTACAACTAGTTTTATCATTGTAAAATGTGTCAAAGTAGAGCATATGAGTTGCATGGTATTCCGATGGAAGTGGATACCCTTGCCAGTTCAACTGAGCTTGGGCAACACCACTTGAGTGAAGACAATTGCATAGTCTCACTTAGGAAGTATCCTGAACAGGGGTCTCCAGGTCAACCCACAGCAAAACCCCCGAACAAAGCCAGGCCTCAGCCAAATAGTTGGAAATTTCTTCAGGATCCAGGTAAGCCAATGTAATTGTTGCCAATATGCAGACTCGAGACAGCAAAAGAGACCCACTAGATCTAAATTGAGTAAATGAGTTCATGGGCTGGTATCCAGGAGAGTGCACACCCTGGTAAGTCCACCTACATCTGGTTTGGAAAAGTTAAATTGCTTAACAACGTCCAAATCAGAACCAATCAAAATAAATGTTGGGTTAAATTGTCATCCTCATGTTTTAAAAGAAAGCTGCATTATGGTGAGGTGAGAGTGACAAGCTTTGACTACAAGGCCACATTCAACCGAGTGCAGCATCAAGGAACCTGGAATCAATGAGTATTGGGGGTAAATTCTCTAGTGGTTGGACTAATACCTGGCACATAGGAAGATGGTCGTGTTTGTTAGAGGTCAGTCATCTCAGCTCCAGGACATCTCTGCAGGAGTTCCTCAGTTCCTAGTGTCCTCAGCCCAACCATCTTCAGCTGCTTCATCAATGACCTTCCCTCCATCATAAGATTAGCAGTGGGGATGTTCGCCGATGATTGCACAATGTTCGGCACCATTCACCGCTCCTCAGATTATGAAGCAGCCCATGTTCAAATGCACTAAGATCTGAACAATATCCATGCTTGAACTGACAAGTGGTTAGTAAAATTTCTGTCACACAAATGCCAAGCAATGACCATCTAAGAAACCTAATCACTGCCCCTTGAAATTCAATGGTGTTACCATCACTCAATCCCCACTAGCAACATCCTTGAGTCACCATTGACCAGAAACTCAACTGGACATGCCACATAAACACAGTGGTTAGAAGAACAGGTCAGAGTTTAGGAATGCTATGTTAAATAACGCACCTCCTGACTCCCCAAAGCCTGTCCACCATCTACAAGGCACAAGTCAGGTGTGTAATGGAATACTTCCCACTTGCCTGGATGGCTAGAGCCCCCAACAACACTCAAGAAGCTTGACACTACTCAGGACAAAGCAGCCTGCTTGATTGGCACCACATCCACAAGCATCTACTCCTCTACCACTGATACTCAGTAGCAGCAGTGTGTACTAAGCTACAAGATGCACTACAGAAATTCACCATAGATCCATAGGCAACACCTTCCAAACCCATGAGCACTTCCATCGAGAAGGACAACGGTAACAGATACATGGGAGTACCACCACTTGCAAGTTCCCCTCCAAGCCACTCACTGTCCTGACTTGTAAATATATCACCGTTCCTTCACTGCCACTGGGTCAAAATCTTGGACTTCCCTCCTTAAGGGTATTGTGGATCAACTTACAGGATGTGGACTGCAGTAGTTGAAGAAGGCAGCTCACCACCACCTTCTCATGGTCACCTAGAGACAGGCAATAAATGCTGGCCAGCCAGTGATGCCCACATCTCACAAGTGAATTTTTAAAAAATTTCCACGGCTCCCAGGTTTAATTTCCCATTTTAAATCCACAATCCAAAACATAAAAGTAGGCTGTATACCTTGGCTTGATATATCAACCAACTTACAACATGATCATCTTTGCATCCTTTCCTGGCAGGAACTTCCAGTCCCTGGGAATGGTTGCCCTGTGCCGATTGGGGAACCTTATGAATTGCATCTGTTTGCCCTCCTCCATGGCTACATCCAAACCTCAGACGTGAGATGGCAAATAGATCATAAGGCACTGTGGCTCTATATGTTCATGGGATCTCTTTGGAATGTGATGCCATGTGTTTTGGAGCAATCTTGGTTAATTGAGAATAGAAACATAAACAGAAATTGCTGGCAAAACTCTGCAAGTCTGGCAGCATCTGTGGGAAGAAAGCAGAGTTAACGTTTAAACCATTATTTATGCTGAAGACGAGTTTGGGGCTGGGGGTTTGGGCGTAGGGAGAAGTGAACGGATATATGGAGATGGAGCACAGAGACAGAGAAAGATATAAAAGGAGTAGGTAAATGAGGAGGAGGTAAATGAGGCCTGCTACTTCAATGCATCACCATGTTCCCATGCCAACATTTCTGTGGCACGCCTGCTGCAATGTTCCAGCAAGCCTCAGCGCAAGCTCTTAGAACAGCATCTCATTTTCTGCTTGGGGATCCTGCAACCTTTGGGACTCAAAATCAAATTCAATCATTTTAGAGCTTGATTCCATTCTTCTGTGTTTTTTACTATTCCCACACCCAGTCTTAGCATGACATGGGTTATTTTTAACACAGCAAACCCATTTTTACCCACTCTCAGCACAATTATAAAATACACGGTTTGCTTTCAGCACAGACTACCCATTCTCTGCTACCCTCAGCTGTCATTATTACTTATTTAGTTTCTCTTCTGCCCTGGCCTGCCATCCATAATTCCCTTGTCTACCTACCCTTTCATATCTCTGTCTCTCTGGGCTTCATCATAAAATCATAGTCATGGCCTCCAGTACTTGCAGCAATCCCTTTTAGAACCCTCGAATGTAGGCTGTTGTTTCCTGGAAATTTGTGAATTTCGGTCCCTTAAATTTCTCCAGTAATTTTTTCTCTGGTTAAGTTAAATTCCTTGGTTCCTTTGCCCTTTCTAGTACCCAATGCACCCTCTATTTTTGATTTATTTCTTCTACTGTGAAGGCAAACATAAAAGATTTGTTCAATGTCTCTGTCATTTCTTCATTCCCCATAATAATTTCTCCTAACTATGTTTCTTAGGGATTAGCATTTACTTTAGATACTCTCTTCATTTTTAGACACTTGATGCTGGTGCTACTGGCTGCTTCAAAGATGCTGATATTAGTACATCTGTCCTTCTATCTGATGTGGAGAATCATTCTCAAACAACATTGTTGCTTCTTAAGGGCTTTGAGATGGTATCTAGACATAATCCAGCTTTTAGCATCATATAGAAGAGTCGGAAGGCTGGCTGCCTCATACACAAGGATCTGGAATCAGCCTGGATATCACGATCATCAAAGGCTCTCATCCTTTGGCGTCTGTAGAGTTGTGCTTGCAGATTGAATGTGGTGTT